ATTTCCAACTTTGATATGATGGTATTGGGGGAGATCAAAAGGGAGTATGTTGGTCAAATAAAGGGCTCTCACGGGGATGTAGTGCCTTAAGCTAGGTTGGGCTGTAGTTCTTGTATTGGCCTAACCCAAGCGTTTCAATTATGACCTGGTGGCAAAAACTTGCCATTCACATTTCATTTATATTGGCCCTATTTGAGTAATTAGCAACTTCAGGAAACTGGTGGTTTGATTCTGATGTTCTAGTAAGTTCAGAGCATGAGGTACATCTTACTCTTAAAGGCCATCTTTTGCACCATCTACATGAGAAAATCACTTTTTCCAACTAATATCCACATATTCATTATCGGAACTGATTACTCTAGAATGGGATTATTGAATTCTATCAAATGAACCTCTTATATAAGTAGTGACCTAAACCCAAGGGTGTTTAGATAGCTTGAGAATGGTCCTTTTAAAAATAAAAAATAAAAAAATCAGTCCAAGTGTTGGAATAAAATTAATTGCTTCGTCATCAGCAGGGTCCTTACTTAAATAGTGAACTAAACACCAAACGGTCCTTAGATAAGTCCTTATAAATGGTCCCTATTTAATTAGTTTTAAGTTTTTTATTAAAATTACCTTGTTACCTATACCTTACACCAAGTGGTAATATGAAAGATGGGACTGTTTCGTCGCTGACCTTTCTTGTTTGAGTTTGGAAGTCCATACCAACTTGGCCACACATATTATAGGCTTCCATAATAGTTTGTACCAAGTGCAGAAACCTTTGGTGTATCCATCTCCTGCTGCAAAATTTTGCCCTCAGAATGAAGGCGCTACTCTTACAGAGTAGTTGTGCTCCTTAAATAGACCAAGGGTGGCATGATCATGTTATGAGGATACATTATCATGACAAAAACTCTCTTGGTAAAGCTCAGTAACAATGCTATAATTGATCCGTTCTAAAGTTTTTCTAGTTACTATAAGATCAGTGTTTTACTGGTGTGAGTTGCAGCCTCATTCAATTTTGAACGAGTACATTCTGTGGCATGTGATAGTTTTCAACTTGCTAACATGTCTTTACCTTTTTTGGTGTAACAGGGAGTCCATGACATATTTCAAGGTTCTCCAGATAGGCCATGGAAGTCGGACGAACCAAGAACAAACAAGATAGTGTTTATAGGGAAGAACTTAGATGCTAAGGAATTAGAGGAGGGCTTCAAAGCCTGTTTAACATAAATACCAGATTCTGGTTGCTATTCTGTAAGAGGTTGATGACAAATAATGTGAGTGTTACTGTTAAATTGATCAAGGGAGACAGGAAATTTAAGCATGATTGACTTGTTAATTAAAAAACTGCTGAAGACTTTCATGCCCCAATTGAGAATACAAATGAATTCTTTATGTTGTATACACTTTTCAGCGTAGTGTCTCTGTAAATGATAATGGAGAAAATTTTAAATCGCATTTTAATGATTAACAATTGCTGAATTCTGATTTCGATTCTTGTGGTATATTTAACCTAAGTAGAAATTGATAATATTTAAGATTCTGAACTATACTATCCTCAAAAATTATATAACAATATAAGTTTGACATTAATTATGGATAATTAAATGGTGTTACGATTGCTAATGTACTGTAAAAAAATTTCACAAACGGAAAATAAACGGTAACGTTCCCACTCCGTCGGGTCGAAGTTTTGGGCCAGACCGAGCCCAAACCACAATAAGATGGGCTCCTATTATTGACCCGCAATTTAGGAACACCGCAGCAGCTGGTCGTCGCCGGGAATTACTGGTCTGAACTCTGCAATTACACAATCAGGAATCAGTGTCTGCAATTCATCTCCATAGAGTACCACTCATATGGCAGACCCCGTAAATATGGTATGCGTCTTCCTCATATCTCTTTCAGTTCTAAGTTTCCCTTCTACGATTCATACTGCAATTGATTCTACTGTTTGAAGCGTTTCGCTAGGGTTTTGTAGGTTTTTCTATAGAGTTTTTCACTTTATTCGCTGTTAGCTTTGTTTTTGGGTGCTTTATTTCTTGGACAATGTTACTGAATTAGAATTTGATTTCCGTTTTAGAGTGTTGGATAAGATTTAAGCTCAACTACAACTGTCTTAACACACCATCCTTTTTGTTGCAGGAGATGGAGGATGAGGATAATTATGTTGAATATGTACCAGTTGCAAAGCGCCGAGCGATTGAGGCTCAAAAGATCCTTCAGAGGAAGGGAAACTCTTCTGTCTTGGAAGAGGAAGAGGAAAAATCGAAGCTTGTTGAGGCTAAGCCGAGTTTGCTTGTGATGGCCACCCAGCTGAAGAAAGAGCAACCTGAAATTAGTCCTACTGAACAAGTAGTCTTGCAAGAGAAGGAGATGATTGAGCATTTATCTGATCGGAAGACGCTAATGTCAGTTCGTGAATTAGCTAAAGGTATTACTTATACAGAGCCTTTGTTAACCGGTTGGAAGCCTCCATTAGCCATTAGACGGATGTCAAAGAAATCCTGTGATGCCATTCGGAAGCAGTGGCATATTATTGTGGATGGCGAAGATATTCCTCCACCAATAAAGACTTTCAAGGAAATGAGGTTCCCTGAACCCATGTTGAAGAAACTTAAAGCGAAGGGGATTATTCAGCCGACACCAATCCAAGTGCAGGGCCTTCCTGTTATTTTATCAGGTCGGGATATGATAGGTATAGCTTTTACAGGCTCTGGAAAAACATTGGTTTTTGTTTTGCCACTCATCATGGTGGCTTTGCAGGAAGAGATTATGATGCCTATTGCTCCTGGGGAAGGGCCACTCGGTTTGATTGTTTGTCCATCTAGAGAGCTTGCAAGACAGACGTATGAAGTTATAGAACAATTTTTAGAACCACTCAAGGAGTATGGTTACCCGGAATTGAGGCCTTTGCTATGTATTGGTGGAGTTGATATGAAGTCCCAAACTGATGTTGTCAAGAAGGGAGTGCACATTGTGGTTGCTACACCTGGAAGGCTCAAAGATATGTTAGCAAAGAAGAAAATGAACCTTGACAATTGCAGGTACAGACCTAATCTTGTAGATCCATTATCGAGGTAGTATTTTATGATATCTATTTGGTTGTTGTCTCGTCTTTCTATGTATAGGCCTAAATGAATCATTCTATGTAACACTAACTCTCAAGACCATAAAAACCAGGAAAAAAGTACTGATTATTCTTCGTATAATGTGTTCATCTGGCTTGTATGGTCTAGAGAGTGTGTCGCATAGAACAATTCATTCACTTGTACCTAACTTCTGATCTATCAAGTATTGGGGTTGCTTGTCCTCATCATCAGTCGTCAGGTCTTGCTCCTTTCCTGCTGGTTTGCTGTTCCACATAAGATGTGGTACTGTTTATGTCTACCCCATGCCTTCAAGAGTCGTACATATATAGATGGAGAACTGTTTGGGAGAGCTTTGTTTACAACACGGGTACACCTCATTTTTTCAGCCAAAATCAGTTTTGAACGATGGAAATTACTGAGCTACTGCTAAATGCTAATTCGACTCATGCACTTAAAAATTGTATATGTCTGTATATAACTTAATCCTGTTGATTGATTTGCTTCTTTTTCATACTTTTTTACTATGTATATCTGCCAAGTTTGTTGTGCCTACCATACTGCTGGTTCATTGCAGATACTTGACACTGGATGAAGCAGATAGATTGGTCGATCTCGGTTTTGAAGATGATATTAGGGAGGTGTTTGATCATTTCAAAGCTCAAAGACAAACTCTTCTATTTTCTGCTACAATGCCCACGAAGATCCAGAATTTTGCACGAAGTGCATTAGTTAAACCAATAACTGTGAATGTGGGGAGGGCTGGAGCAGCTAACCTTGATGTGATTCAGGAAGTCGAGTATGTAAAGCAGGAAGCCAAGATTGTTTATCTTCTCGAGTGCTTGCAAAAGACTCCACCACCGGTTCTGGTTTTCTGTGAGAATAAGGCTGATGTGGATGATATCCATGAATATCTTCTCTTGAAAGGAGTAGAAGCTGTGGCTATTCATGGAGGAAAGGATCAAGAGGATAGAGAGTATGCAATTGCGACATTCAAATCAGGCAAGAAAGATGTTCTAGTTGCCACTGATGTTGCCTCTAAGGGGTTGGATTTTCCTGAGATTCAGCATGTAATTAACTATGATATGCCTGCCGAAATTGAAAACTACGTGCATCGGATTGGACGAACAGGAAGATGTGGAAAAACAGGAATTGCCACAACCTTTATCAACAAGAATCAAAGCGAAACAACTCTCCTTGATCTGAAACACTTGTTACAAGAAGCAAAACAAAGGATCCCTCCTGTCCTTGCAGAGCTAAATGACCCTATGGACGACGTTGAGGCAATCACAAATGCAAGCGGAGTAAAGGGTTGTGCCTATTGTGGTGGGCTTGGTCATCGTATCCGTGACTGCCCCAAGCTAGAGCACCAAAAGAGCGTCCAGATAGCCAATTCGAGGAGAGACTACTTCGGTTCTGGAGGTTATCGTGGAGAAATTTAATTCCCTTGCCAAATATATCTTCCATCTCTTTGTAGCTTCTCAATGTACGATGTAATATTCATGGTTAATTTAAAATTTGCTTCTTGAACAGTCTTGGATGCTTTAACTTTTTGCTTCAGAACCAGATGTATCTTAACATTAGACAGATTGTGAACGTCTATTTTATGTGACCAGTATTTATGTTCACTTTGGATCATATTACAAGAGTTGAGGATTGTAAAAACTTGTGGACTATTTCATAGGCTGAATTCTTAGCACAGTTGAACTTTCTCGGTTGTGTGCATGACTAAGAAATTGATGATCATTCTACCAGAAAGAAACAATTATATATTGATGTAATCATCATCTCATGACCAAATCCTGATCTATCAAGGGACATTGATAGTACAACAAAAATATGAAACTCTTTTATGTTTTCACTTTATAAAAATGTAGTAGAATTAGGCGTACCCCATAAAACAGAGAATAAAATAAAAACAGACCTTAAAGACAAGCCAAAGACAACAATCCTAATAAATTGGATGACATTTCCTAGTTCATGTATACCAAATATGTTGAATAAGTAAATCCAACAAAGAGCATTTAAGCACAAAACAAACATATCGTTAAGCTATAGTAATTTTACAAATGCGTAAGGACAAACAAAAGCATATACTTTGCCAGCCATGAAAATGACTGCAAGATTATATAACTTGAACCTATATAAACTCTGATATCTCTTCTTTTTTTTCATCAAATAAGTGCTCTCTCCATACAAGAGATACTACTACTTCAATTTTCTTCTCAGAATCAAAACATTATGGCTGTCACCACCTTCACTGAGGAGAACACTTCTTCACTTCCACCCAAAAGAATATTCAAGGCCTCCATTGTTGATTCTCATAACTTGATCCCAAAGTTGATGCCACAAGCTATCAAAAGCATTGAAGTTCAAGGTGATGGAGGTGCTGGAAGCATCAAGACTATCAATTTCCCTGACGGTACAATCATCGTATCACTCTTCTATTTTTGTGCAATTGTGCTTAGTAGACAACATTTCTGAAGACAACGATAACTCTTGTTTTTGTGTGTGTAGGTGGAAATTTTAAGTGCATAAAGTATCGTGTTGATGAGCTTAACGAGGAGGCATACACATACAAGTACACATTGATCGAAGGTGATGGACTGGTAGACAACCTTGAGAAAATAACTTATGACGTGAAGTTTGAGCAGTCAGCAGATGGCGGTTCCATCTCTAAGGTGACTAGCTCATACTATACTGTGGGAGATTTCAAGCTCAAGGAAGAGGAAATCAAGGCAGGCAAAGAGAAGGTTTTGGCGATGTTCAAAGCTGTAGAAGCCTATCTCCTTCAGAATCCTGAAGCTTATGCTTAGAAGTTAGAGTGTTGCTATGCTATGGGATGGTTGTTTTCTCTATGAATCCTAAGCTTGTCTTTCATGTTTGTGGAAGAAATAAGTATCTTTTGGTGTGAAATAATGTTGTTTGCTGTTTTTATGTTTGAAGTAGTGATAATCTTAAGTTTTTTTTTTCTGTACCAGTCTTCATTTTCATTTGTCATTGCACATTTGCTCGGAAAGTTGAAAGAGATTGAGTAATGGTTGATGAATAATTGAATTCAGAATCCTTACATTGAGAATGTATAAACTAGCTACAACAATAGCTTCTTTTTTTTTCAGTTTCTGTGATGAATAACAGATTATTCCTTAAATGAGTCCAAAAAAACAGGAGTGGAAATATGAAAATGATCACTCTATAACAGTGACATGTGACAATAACGCTTCTAGTCAAAGCACATATGACTTTGTTAATGAAATTGTTGAGACATAATATAATTAAGAAGACAAGTGTGGTTTCTGTAATAGTTCAACTTTTTAGACGAGACAGTCACACAATTCTAACATGCAGATCAGACAAAGTCTCGAGTTTCAAATCTCACTATCAAATCAAAAAAGAAGAGACAGTAGTTACAATAAGTATACGTAAGAACCCTTTTTTTCGAATTCCTATGATCCAATTGGGGCTTATCAGCAGAAACGAATCAATTTAGATAGTCTTTTGTGGCTCCCCACCTAAGGAGCAAAAAAAATATTTTCACGTTTTGAGTACATGAATAAAAAGAATCAGCACCACACCTGAGGAGAAATTGCAGCCTCCAGGCCATCAAATCTTTTCAGACAGATGGAATCATTGATGTGAAAATTCACATTCACATCGAGTAGCATCCTGGAAAACAGCCTCTGAAACTCTCAGTTCTGTGCTGACAACTGCTGAATATGATTATTCACAACAGAAATTATGGGAGTCGATGTCGTTGACCAGTACAGGAAAAGAACACAAGTATATAACATCTGGCAACAAACTGCAGGTCAATAGAAACAAGCAACAGTAATTGCAGCAATAAGATTATCTTATCAATACCTTTGAATATCTGAATGCAGCCTGAACTACCTTGACGCGATCATGAATGCAAGTGGAGTAAAGGATAGTGTATATTGTGGTGGGCTTGGTCATTGTATCCGTGATATCCCCAAACTACAGCACAAAAAGAGAGTGCAGATAGCCATTTCAAGGAGAGACTACTTAGGTTCTGGAGGTTATAGTGGAGAACTTTAATGCCCTTACTAAATGTATCCTCTTCTCTTTGTAGCTTGATGATAGTTACTACTAATAGGTTTCTCAATGTAGAATGTAATATTCATGGTTAATTTAAAAGTTGTTCCTTGAACTGTTCTGGATACTTTTTGCTCCAGAATCCCAGATGTATCTTAGCATTACACGTACGTGAACGTAGATTTTATATTATCAATGTTCATCCTCACATTGAATCATATTACTAGAGTTGAGGATTGTGAAAATCGTAGACTATTTCCCTAAGCTGAATTTCTACTGCAGTTGAACTTCCTTGATTGTCAATGCCTAAGAAAATGATGATTATTCTATCTGAAGAAACAATTATGAATTGAGGCAATCATCCTGTCATGACTAAATCCTGATTTATCAAGACATTCGGCAATACAATACAATACAATACAAACTACTTTTTTGTTTTCAGTTGATAAAAATGTAGTAGAATTAGGCGTACCCTATAAACGAGGGGAAAAAAACTTTAAAAACAAGACAAAGGCAAAAATCCTTATTAATTGTATGACCATTTCCGAGTTCATGTATACCAAATATATTGAATAAGTAAAACCAATAAAGAGCATCTGAGCACCAAACAAACATATCCTTAAGCTATAGCAAAACCAATGCATATGGACAAGCAAAAGCATATATTTGGCCTGCCATGAAAGTGATTACAAGGTTATATAATTCATGGACTTGAACCTATATAAACTCTTAAATTTCCTTCTATTTGTACCAAACAAGTGCTCTCCCCCTACAAAAATCTCACTCAACTAAATTTCATCTTAGAATCAAAACATTATGGCTGTCACCACCTTCACTGAGGAGAACACTTCTCCACTTCCCCCAAAAAGAATATTCAAGGCCTCCATTGTTGATTCTCATAACTTGATCCCTAATTTGATGCCACAAGCTATCAAAAGCATTGAAGTTCAAGGTGATGGAGGTGCTGGAAGCATCAAGACTATCAATTTTCCTGACGGTATAATCACCAAAATTATTTATGTTTTATGCAAAAGTCTTCTGGTTTTATCTTGTATCTTTTTGTGCATGTGTAGGTGGAAATTTTAAGTCCATAAAGTATCGTGTGGATGAGCTTAATGAGGAGACATACACATATAAGTATACAATGATCGAAGGTGATGGACTGGTTGACAACCTTGAGAAGATAACTTATGACGTGAAGTTTGAACAGTCAGCAGATGGTGGTTCCATCTCTAAGGTGACTAGCTCATACTATACTGTGGGAGATTTCAAGCTCAAGGAAGAGGAAATCAAGGCAGGCAAAGAGAAGGTTTTGGCGATGTTCAAAGCTGTAGAAGCCTATCTCCTTCAGAATCCTGAAGCGTATGCTTAGAAGTTAGAGAGTTGCTATGTTATGGGTTGGCTGTTTTCTCTCTGAGTCCTAAGTTTGTCTTTCATATTTGTGTCAGCAATAAGTATCTTCTGGTGTGCAATAATGTTGTTGGTTGCTTTCATGGTTAAAAGTATTGATTAACTAAAAAATTCTTCTGTGCCAGTTTCATTTTCATTTGTCATTTCACATTTGCTTGGAAAGTTGAAAGAGATGAGTAATGGTTGATGACTAAACAAAGTGAGAATCCTTACATTGAGAATGTAGAAACTAACTACAGCAAGAGCTTCTTCTTTGCAGATTATGTAATGCATAACAGCAGGCTTCTAGTGGAAGTATATAGAACTTCAGATGATGAAATCGTTGAGACATAATATAATTAAGTAGATAAAGTATGATATCTCTAATAGTTAAACTTTTTAGACAGACAGTTACACAGTTCAATATGGCATCAAATCATACCAAAAAATCTTGAGTTTCAACTATCACCACCACCTAAGAAGTGAAAATAATATTTTCACGTGTTTGGTATCTGAATAAAAAGAAATCAGCACCACACGTGAGGAGAAACTGCAACTTCCAGGCCATCAAATCTTCAGGCGGAACCATCGACCTGAGAATTCAGATACACATTCAGTAGCATCTGAAGCTCTCAGTTTTCTGATGACAATTGCTGGGTTTGATTCTTCGTGTAGAATTTGCAGGAGTCCATGTCGTTGATGCTGTACAGGGAAAAGAACATTAGGCAACAAACTGCAGTTCAATAGAAACAAGCAACTTTAACTGCAGCATCAAAAGAATATCTTACTAATACCTTTGGGTATCCGAAGGCAGCCTGAAATTCGTTTTGAACTTCATTTACTAACTTTCTTCTTTCTTCCGCACCTTCCAAGAAAACTACCTTGAGAATCTCTGCTTCATCTTCAAGAATTCTCAATCTCTTATCAAGTAGTTTAACTTGTTCAGCACGCACAAACTCCTTATTTCTGTAATTAGCTTCTTCTGCATAAACATTCCTTGATGAACTTTCAGCTAAGTGATGCGAATACGCAGTGGATTTTTCCATGCTGGCTGGCCCTGAAAGCACAACGATTCGAATTTTGCATTTTTGAATGCAGAATTTACTGATTACTGCATGGTGGAACGAAAAGATTTGTCTTGAAGCTGAAAGTGGGAGGGTCTGATTTCTTCCGTTCAAAGAAATAGGCAAATTTTGGATGCTTATAATCAGAAGGTATCAATGAGCGGCGGTAGCTTTAATTGGTGACTCACTCTGTTTTTGGCAATTTTTAGAAATATTTGTCCTTTCATTGGGCCGTAGTTGTAGCTATTGATATTTCCTGAGCCTGAACGAAACATTGGGATGTGAGTCTTATTTATTGAGCTCATACTCAGAGTGCCAATATATTCATTCATTCCGCATTACTTCTGCAACAACATACCAATACAATCCTACCTGTGTGGGAGGGTAGTGCATACACAGCCTCAGACCTACCTTACCTCGAGAATACAGAGAGACTCAGACCTATCTTACCTTGAGAATATAGAGAGACTGTTTCGTGTATATATAAGTGAAGGACAATTTGTTAGATAATTATATGTGCACCAGTCTCGATAGTTAGTTGTTATGTTCCCTCGACTAGCTCATATGTATTGCACAACACTTGGTTCAACAAGGCAAAACTCTGCACGATTCAACTTCGAAAAAATATACAACTCGTGAAAATGAGAATTATAGCATACTCAAAAGATTTTTTGAAGAAGCTAAAAGCTTTTATCTTAATTACATGGTTCTTTCTGTGTTTCTATCCCTGCCCCCACAAAAGGGGGAAGGGGGAAGGGGGAGAGGAAGAAAGAAAAAAAGAAAGAGATTCAACCTCCATCTTCAAACCAGGGTGGTCCATGATCTGAAACATAACCCAACACAAGTACAAAACAATAAGGAGAGAGAATATTGAACACTAAAACGAGAAACATAGCTTGAGCAATACAATTATACAGTTGATCTTTCAAACCCAATTCAAGTTATCATGACAAATTCACCAATCTAAACAAAAGCAATTTATAAATCGAACCAAAACAAGAGTAACTGCATGTTTATATAAAAACAAAATAGCATCACAAGCATACCCATTGTGACAGGGACCTCGCCTTGCCTCCCCTTGCACCACTATTGCAGTGTCTCAACGTAAATCTTTTAAAAACTTCACAACATCAGAATGCTTCTGATGAAGGACGTCATTTCTTAATTGTGACATCTAATCTTTTCTTATTAATAGGTTCACCCCCACCCCAAAAAAAGACCTATAATCCCACAAAACATTAGTTAATAAAAACCAATTAAAATTTGGTCCAGAAAACATGAATTAACCTTAATGAAGTCATTCAACTGCAGTAAGGAGTCCCTTGTATAACCAGCCTCGTGCAAAACCTGGCTTAACACTTCCTGCAATTCAGATCAAATGCAAACGACAAACTCATCAAATTCATTATTCAAAAGCTACATGAAACGGTAACTGATAAACAAGGCAGGAAACAACAAAATCACATGAGATTCAGAAAGTTAAATGTTCTTTACTCAAGAATAGGGCCTGCTGATCTAAAAGATGCAAAGAAAATGCTAAAATTTACGGTGCGTGTGATTGCAGCGATGTATCAAGTGTCTAGCAAATCATGAGGAACTAAACCAGCCAATTATATAACAGGAAGTCATGTACCCAAACACATCATCCAAAGTTTAAATCTAAATAACTATGCTCATTTTTTCTTTAACAGGTTCCTCTAAAGATCATTTTTGAACAGATAATGGCAGACGACAACCATGCGAATTTCTCAATCACAAGCACAACACTTTACTTGCAGACATGAATGGATAAACTTCTATTCACATATGGCCCGCCTTCTTGTCATTTTTCTCCTCCATCCAGACCTAGATAAACAATACAGTAAAGGAAAAGAGCAAGACTACAACTCAGAGTCTACTAAAAAAGGAAGTGCCACAAGTTCTCTGAAGAAAAGCTACCGAAGTCAAATCTATGTAAAGTATCAGTTCATGATTTTACTAACTAAAATTGAGATCCTTATATTAGAACATTGCGATATAGATCTTTAAATTAAAACATATGTGTACACGAGATTCTATGGAACCACAAGTTAAGTAAGAAAAGGTTTCAAAGAAGACAGACAAGTAAAACAGTAGGGCAACTACTATTAGAATGCTCAGATTGATATACACAGTTTACACTTTTGACAGAGTTATTTATTAGTTATGGTCCTTTAATAAAACAAGCACAAGCAAATGATCGTAGTTAAGATATTAAAGATCATAAAGCACTTAAAACGTAAAACAGAATAATCATAATTTATAGAGTATAAATCTACTTCAACACATCACACAGACCATGAATGAAGTTGACGAAGTCTAGTGGATTATCTAAACTCCTCTTTAAGGAGCTACAAATCTTTTACAGGAACACTCATCTTGATCAAGATGCACAATCTCCATCTTTTTTGGTGAAATATGGAGGTAAATCAGTTTGACACACTTTTGTAACTTAACAGAATCTTTCTAACTTGGACTTGTTAGGGTTTTCCCTGAATGTCCTACTTTATCTAAATTCTAATAAAATTGTGTTTTATTCCAAAAAAAGTTTTCTAGGTACAAAAGGTTTTCTTGGTGGAGAAAAACTCTTCTATATCTATACTTTTCTTGGAAGAAAATTTTAAACCTCTATAAATTGAAGATCAGTCTTTCCCACAATAACACAACTCCATCTACAATATAGTCATTATAACAGTGTTGTTTAGGGAGATATTTTCTCTCCAATCGTTTGTGTGATTTCTTTTATATAGTTTCTCATGTGAAGGCCAATTGGTTAAACCATATCCAAATAATGTTTCTTTTAATATGATTTTCTTTGTCTCTGATATATCGTCGTCAAGCTCTGCAATTGTTAGTTTCCACACGACACCCTGATTATTTTGATCGAAACAGGATTAGGATGCTATTTATACATCTTGTACAAATGGAGAACTTTCTTAATTCTGTTTTGTGAATAAAACTCAGTATTAAAAAAGAAAGAGAGGGGGAAAAAATGATAATAGATGTAACATACCTCTCTTTGCTTGTCAGAAATGAATGATCCAGTTAAATCCCGAAGCACTTCCATTATGTCATCAAAAGTCACCTTCCCATTGCAATCAGAATCGTACACTTTGAAGATAACTAAAAGAACATGGTAGCCGTAGGTGAGGAAATTGGTAAGTATTAAAAGAAGGGCAAAAGTTAGTAAAAGAATTGCAGTACTAGGTAAATAACAAATCTCTTGTTTCAACATTCGGTAATAAAAGAATCTGAATAATTGTTGTTATAAGAGCTGTTCTTTAATATGATTGGTATTTTACCACCACCTCTAGACCTTCTACTGTAAGTCCCCTTATCCTAGAAAGACTATAACAAAATCATTTAATGGCATTGATGGATCTTCTCTTACCACAGTGGCAAATGCAGAGGTTACCAAATAACCATAGGGAGAGAATCTTATATAAATCAGCTTTAGACTACAGAACAGCTTTCAGGGATAGTCGTATGTCTAAGATGTCAGTAAGTGTAAACAAGTTTTAAACAGAGTCCTCCTCCAACAAAAACATGTTTTTCCTCAAGTAGCAAAAATATAACACATGTAAAGATGCAACGACGTACGTTCAATTTTCTGTGCCACACTGGCCTTAGCACTGAAAGTTGATAAAAATGCCACAAAGTCCTTGAAGTTCAAGCCATCCACCATCTTAAGCAATCTCTGTAAAGATGTATTTCACATTATTATTGAACACAGAACGGACCAACAAGACACACAAAAAAAAATAGCAATTATTTTCCATAACAGTGGTGCCTGGGATCAGCTTGCACGAATCTAATAGTTAAGAGCAAAAAGAAAAAATTATAATCACACCTGAGAAAGTGGATTCATTGCGAATTCTGGCACAGAGAGAAACTCATCAGCTGATATAAAACCCTTTGAATTCCGATCAAGTTGGCAGAACCTCTGATACAGTGACACTATTTCCTGCTGTGCAACTGGGGTTGTGTTGTAAATCTTAATTAGTAAGCTGTGCAAGAAGAAGAAGAAGAAGACGACTAATAGATGAGTAAGAAAAAATTACAGAGATGGTCGCAGTGGTCTTGAACATCCTCAATATCATATTGAGTCAACATCGAAGAAGCATTACCCATGGTCAAATCTCAGCAGCAAAACTACAAATCCCATGAAATTAAGAGAAACCCATTAAACAAAATCAGATTTTTCATCAGAATCAGAACCCCTCCTACGATTAGTAAAGAATGAAATGGGGATTACCTCAAGTTCCCAAGAGAGATGGGCGCACGATAAAGGCAACCAAGACGAGGGGGAAGAACAAATTTTATAGTAGCGGAGTGTGTGAATCTAGCTCTAGGATTGAGCAAACTATGTCATCAACAAGAAACTAGTTTGGCTGTACTCTACTGCGTGACGGGGAATTTGATGTCTGCCTATCAAACTTATCACCCCTCTTAGAGGCTTTAAAGATTCCTGATCTGGTGTTCCGCAGCAGTATTTACTGCATTTATAGTCAGGTGGTCTTTCTATTGGTTCTCTAGATCAATAAAATATAGAGTACTAAAAAATTAAGAAGTACACAAATATCTCAAAGTGATTTTTTAACATTATATCAATAAAAATGTCCTTGATAAATATTTTTTATTGATCAATTTGAGCTAGATTTCTATATAGTGAAATGAGTTGAGGTGAAATATAAATGAGTAAGTTTATACAAATTATAATTTCATGAACTAATTTTTACCCATTTACCTTGAACCAACTGAATGAATTGCTTTGATTATTAAGTAGTCAAATTCAAAGGGAGCTGAGGAATATATGACGCCAAATTGTTCTGGTAGACGTAAAAAAAATGCAGTAGATAGAATTGTTTACCCTTTAATAGGTCGAAGGCAAAAATGTTGCAACTAATAAACCACTCTAGTTTTCTATTCCTTGCCAAAACAGAAGAATGAAGTGCCTGAGGTCAAATGATTTTGGCAGAAGCTGAAAGCGAATGCCATGCCATGTTTAGTTGTTTTATCGCAGTTCCAAGTGTTCTCATATCTCAAGATTAAATCTGGAAATGGGATCCTGAATTCATCAAATTTGTAATAGAAAAAATTATACAACGGCGGAGAATAGGATTGCTGATTAGTGACAATCTGAGAATGATTTCAATTCTTGTACAACCAACTTCCACCTTAATTCAACACAATCAGAATCGTCAGCGAATAAAACCGATCGGAAGATAGCATTATTCCACAAGCCTTTTTTTTTTCCCTCCAGAGAGGGGTGGAAGAAGTGAGAGCTGAGAAGACTGCATGACAAAAATACACAAACCAAAAATAAAGTATGAATGTGATGAAAAGATTACCTACCTTCTCTAACAAATGAGAAGCTGAATAATTGCTCCATTAACTTCAAACGTGGATAATGATATGTCACGACCCAATTTCTCGAGCCATGAAGGCACCTACTATAACCCATCAGTAGGTAAGCTAAACCACAACCCAGAACCACACATACTGGGTGTGAGGGTAGAAGAAACTAAACAAGACTAAGAAAAAATACTATAACAACATAAGCAAACCAAAACATAAATACAATAAAGGATCCCTCCCAGAACCTGGAAGTCACTAATACAGAGTTATCAACAAAACGAGTACAAGTCCCAACAGTGGACCACCGAAACTAGACTGTCTCGAAAAGTAAAAGACAAGTTTTTATATAAACAGATGGAGACTGAAATAGTACAAAACGCTGTGTGCTCACCCCTGTCTCCAGACCAGAAATTCCCCAAACTCGATCAACGCTGACTACCGGTGCTCGAACCTGCATCACGAAAATAGATGCAGAGCGTAGCATGAGTACCAAAAAAACACGTACCCAGTAGGCATCATAGGCCGACTGAACTAGAAAAGTAAAGCACTATGAAAAGACGGAATCACAAAACTAGAGGTCAAGAACAGAAGGCTAAGTAACACAATAATGCACACGAGTGTATAAAAATCTAACTAAATTAATATAAATAAGCTAACTACACCTAACTGGACCCACCATAAGCCCAGAAGGTACACTCGTGCACAAGTTTAAATAAAAACCCGAACAGACCCCCATAAGCCCGACAAGTACACAAAATAACTATAACTTAAGGAGAATAAAACTCGAGGCCAAAGAACACCGAATCAAAAAGTAAAATCTGACGGTACGGAGGTCGGGCCTTGAACCGGACACTCACCAGAATTACACAAGTAGCCAATTGCAAAATATAAGTAACTGAGGTCGGACCTCTAACCGGATGCTCTACATACTTGAGGCCGGACCTCTAACCGGATGCTCTACATAAGTATGTGGATGTTCGAGGCCGGACCTTAAATCCGGATACCCGACAAAGATGTCGATATAGCTGCTGAAAGAGTCTTTATCTATCCATAATCATATAAACCCGTGGAACACCATCCAGACTTAGCTAATCAATGTAAGTCCTTAAAGCTGAATCGAACTCAACTTTGAATCACGGAGCGGAAATCATTGTCACTGACGTAACTCAAGAAGCCGTAACATCGAAGAAATAAGAGTAACTATCGCTAGAGCAAGCTCATCGTCTTTTTAAATACCCAACTATCAGACTCAAGTCTGCTACATCAGTCTACAAGGATTTAAGCCGGCCGAGCGACGTCGAGGCTAAACTAAGTCCTACCGACTTTGAATCATGCATTTCTAAGGAAAACCCTAGTCAAACCTAAACTAAGGCCCAACATACTTCTGACAACCAGTATTCAAACATACAAATAATTCATATAGCAAAGAAGGTCAATTAATAACAATAAACATGCTCACAGTTACCCGATAATTCTCAGAAAAAGGGCGAAAATATGATTCTTAACACCTATGGATGATCCAATAACTACCCAATCCAAATTCCAACTAATCAACATGCATTCACATGTTCGAGTTCAATCTAAGAAGAGAAACAATAGCCTACCTGAACGCAGATCAGGCGCGCTCCAAAATTCACTCCCCGGATCTTTTACTTTCTAAAAGGCCACGAAACGTTGATACACTATCAGAAATAGAGTCACAAAGTTATTACAGTCATTTAAACACTAAAATCGCAAGAAACGGAGACGAGTCAATTTCACGGTCAAAATGGAAAAAGTGGGATCCGCGTTGAGAAATCTCGAATTAACTCCAAATAAAAGTCCTAAATAACTCTCGAAACTTGTATACCAGAACGGAGCACAATTCAGGACTCAAAACAGTTCCAACATGAACATGCAACAAAAGAACCCAAATTCTAAGCTAAAAATCAGCAACTATGGCAGCAGCTACTTACAAGATTTTACCAAAAATAAAGCTCCAACAGCCAAAACCAACCACACCACGACGATCCTCACGAAAAAACCCACAATATAGGCTCTTGAATCACTTGATTCGGACCTAAAATGGCCAAGAAATTACCTTCTAAAATTTCCCAAAACTTGTGCTCGAAAATGAGCTATGACGGCAATTAAAACCCAAAAATTACCTCAAATCGGGTCCCCAAATCAGATTCCAAGCTCACCAATGCGTTGCCCTCGAAAAATCTCACAACTTAGCCAGCCTTTTGAATCGCCCAATTTGGAGTTGTATAGCTCAAGATATCAAGATTTCAAAGTAAGACACAAAGCTGAAAGTTGGGTTTTTATAAGGGCTGCATCAGATTCAGCTTTGCCTACTTTCTTTAAAGTCTCCGACGGGTGCTCGAAATCCGTTCGGAACCTGATAAAAATAAAATAGATATGCTACCCTACCAAAGTCGACATTCCGGACTCAAAGGCGCCGTCGAAATTTTCATCAGAGGTCATCTCGATAAAATGTGGGTCCCACTTCCATTGGCCATTTTAAGTCAAAAACCACAAAAGGGCTCGGAAAAAATATCAAAAACCTCAAAACCCAAAAGAAGGGTCAAACTAGACCAAACTCGACATTCCGAAGCTAACCGCGCTGACGGAATTCTCATCCGAGCGCGTTTACTCAGAATATTGACTAAAGTCAAACTTAGCCTTTAAACTTGAAGTTAAAACGCCTAATCCCACCAACTCACATTGAAAACTTTGGGAGTCATGTCGACAATGCTACTAGACTAAAATGACCCTTCCGGAACTGATGGAATCGTCAGAATTGGATTCTGATGTCATCTTCTTGAACTTTTGATCGAAAATGATCGTTCAAGGTTCATAAGCTCCAAAAATACTAAAACTCACACAATAACCAAACGAATGACCGGGTGACCAATCTGTCAGTCCCAACAAGTCATAAATGACTTGAAATCGCTATAGGAACGCTCTAAACGATGTACAGAAGATAAAACACTAAAAATGACAATAAGGGTCATTATATGGTAGTACAGACAAAATTGGAAGTTAATGTCTATGAAATATGAGAGAGCTATTACACTAGCTTCAAGACTACTTTACTACAGCAGTGACCAATTTTCTTCTACCCTCCTTAAAGTGACAACTATCATCATCATCAGCTCCACTGAAACTCCACTTCTGACTAGAAACTAATCCAAAAATTCCGTGCTATGTTTGACTGAAAAAGATGCCACAAGTCTCGGCTCCAACTAACTTTCCTTAAAAGATCTTGAAAAGGATACCACCATGAGTGGCAAAGAATGGAGCAAATACAAGTGACTCAACTGCCATCAGTTTGATCAAAATGTTGAGGGATGGGCCCGAAGTGTCCTTCAGGGGGTCACCAATGGTGTCGCCAATAACAGCAGCCTTGTGAGGTTCAGAACCCTTTGGGCCGAGAGTCCTTGCATGCTCTGAAGCACCAGCCTGATAGAGAAAGCAAATTTAATAAACTCTAGTGTGTGCCATGAAACACATACATAAGGGTAGATAAATCTATCTTCTATACCTCAATATACTTCTTGGCGTTGTCCCATGCACCTCCAGTGTTTGATGCAGATATTGCTATCTGGAAAAGATACACACATGAGATTTGGACATGATCCTTTAAAAAGAAAACATATTTAAACAGAATCCTTGAAAATCCAAACTCATAAAGCGGAAGAACTGATCATACCTGTACACCGGATACCAAAGCACCAGCAAGTACACCAGAAAGTGTCTCCACTCCAAAGAAAATACCAACTATGAGGGGTGTGAGCATGACTAGGGCACCTGGTGGAATCATTTCCTTGATAGATGCATCAGTCGAAATCTTAACACAAGTGGCATAATCAGGTTTAGCATGACCTTCCATGAGACCAGGAATAGTGTTAAATTGTCTGCGCACTTCCTCAACCATCTTCAAAGCTGCACTACCCACACTCTTCATGGTCATGGCAGAAAACCAGTAGGGAAGCATGGCTCCAACAATCAAACCAATAAACACCTTGGGGGTCAAGACATCAACCGTTGAAATTGCAGCCCGACTAACAAAAGCACCAAACAGAGCCAGAGACACAAGTGCAGCAGATCCAATGGCAAAGCCCTGGAAAGAAATGAATGTCCACAGTTAGGGAAGGAAGAAATGCTGGGAAAAACTCTCC